GGGGGGGCTGTGAGTTATTTGGGGTTTGGGTTTTTTTTTAATTTTATGTAGGAGTAAGTAAGAAGATTATTACCCAGTGGAAGACCTGGAGAACCAAACAGCTGCACAAGTTGAAAAGCAAATCCTAATGATAAGGGAAGTCCCAGAAAACTACATTTCATATTCACATCTTCGTAATTTTCGAGTTGTGAGGCCTCTGCTGGTTCAGGGTCATCTGCTTCATGCACATTTTCACCACCGCTTGCTACTTGCTTACTAGAATCTTCTGGATATTCAGAAATAACTTTAACAGAAGACAAAATATCTGGTTGGCTATTTGTAACCTCTGAAGAAATTTGTTCATTTTTGTCCTCTTTTTTATCAACTACCCGTTGTTGCTTAAAAGTTCTAGCTTGCTCCTCCTTTGTCCTGGAAACTACACAAATCCTGCAGGAATATTTTGGCATAGAAGAAGATTGTCCCAAATGAGTATAAGAAATATCATGTAACAGAGCATCTTCATCCAGGGTGGGTAAGGAATAGGCTGCCTCACTGCCACTGTAAGGTGCAAAATATTCCTGCAACGCACGGTCCTGTTTACATTTCTCTCCACAGTCCTTGCTTAGAAAGCTCTTCTGTCTCACTTCCAAAACACTTTTTTGGGGAACATCATCTTTTATTGGGACTTCCTTCCCTGCTTCTGTACTCCCAGCAATCTGTCTTGGTAGATTAAACTTTGGTGCCAAGTTGACAATTCTTCTGTATCTTTTCCTCTTTGATGTAATTGTCGCAGAATCATTTCTTGGAACGTTTACTTCACTAGAACACTGCATGAAGGTGGCCCTGGCTTCCACAAGGGAATCAAAGTGCACTTCACCAGCTGGAGATGCCAACAGACCATTGTTTATTACATTGCCAGTCTCTTCGGTTACTGTTACCTGATGGTTTTCCTTTACCAATCCCCCATTTGACTGATAGCAGTTTAGCTGTGTTGAACTGTTCATATGAGTCTGTTTAGGTTTCCTCACTTTTTTGGGTCTTTGTTCACCTACAAATTTATCCTCAGACCAAGAAGAGAGAGAAAACTGTGTATCAAAGCCCAGCTGCAATTCCTCAGTAGGTAAATTAAGTGAAAAAAATGCCCAGGCATTAGAGCTATTCTCTTCTGCTTTTAATACACCTTTGTCCTCTGTGTTATTATCAGGCACGTAATCATGTACATTTGAATTGTAACACAGAGAGATTTCTTTTTCTTCATTCAAACTTAACAGCTTAGCTTCCATGTCAGGTTCACATATAATTTGATATGATCTGAGTTTGTTTTCTGTGCTTAACAGTGGCATGTTATAATCTTCAGAGACACCTTCTGTTTCCTGGATGGAATTTTTGTCATTGCTTATTTTTAGAAAACTGCTTCTGCAAAGATTTTCTTTGTGCTTCTGATTTGTTTCCTCATCACTGAACGATTTTTTGGTTACGTTTTCAGTAGAAAAAGGTTTTACATCTATTAAAAGTGAACGGTCACTTTCTACAGGCAATTCCTTTTCCAGTGCACTGTTAGACATCACTGAGACCTCAGACACAGTGACAGGAAATCTTTCTCTTGAAACCACTCCAGCATCTTTTAGGCTTTCATCATCACCATTAGGCTGCTCTTCACAAACTGTTACTGGATCCTCTGAACCTCCACTGAATGTACACAAAGATTTGCTGTTTTCTTCTTCTGAATCATCCTCTTCACTTTCTGATGCATCCTGGTCATCTGGAATTGGACAATGAGCTGCTCTGCCTAACATTTTCTTCGCAATTTCTGTACGATTGCCTTTCATTTTTTTGTTTCTTTTTTGTTTTTTCCTCTGCTTTGCTTCTGTCAACAGGTGCCCACGGTTATTCTTTAAAATTGTCTCCCTATGTGAAAATAAATTAAAAAAAAAGTAAAAGAAATCTATTTCAGTAATATTATTAGTGGTGTTCCACTTGAAGAATAGGTACTTTATATTAATATGATGATCAAACACAGGCCATCTGCTTTTTTAAATAGATAAAATCTCAGATAAAACCTATTGATCAAACAAATGCACACTTCACAATTCAGAAATTCAGAACAAACTTGAACACTTTAAAACAATTTAAAGAAACACAGCTGCTGTCTCATTAACTTAGCTTTACAAAAAGTTTCACAAATTATTGTCAGACCAAACAATATCTTAGATACTAAAGAGAGCTACTGCTATTCTGAAATTTCATTGAATGTCATGCTGAGCAGAAAGGTACTAAGTGGAGGATATAGTAAGAAAATTTCATCCATTAAGATAAAATGGACTATAATTAGATAAGATGGACTCAAATTCAAACATACTTATGAATAACTTGAATAACGTAAAGGTACAGTGACTACAGCAACTCTAATATTTACTGGTCAGTGTATTATGTGTGGATTCATATGTATTTGGAAAAAAAATGCATATTTTTATTCGCAACAAAATAATACACTACAGAAAAATAACACAGTTGTAGGTAGTTATTTACAATTAATTAATCTAGAAATCCAGAAATCTAACTTCTCCCTATGCAACTTTTCAGAGAGAAATGAGATTTTCAAAGCTAAGTTTGATAACTCTTCATAAAGATTTGCTTCTTTTCTGCAATTCTTCGCTTTTCTGTAACCCTTTGTTCAGGATGGTACTTCACACATGCTAAAGCAATCAAAGCAGTAGCTAGAAGAATTATTGGGTAAAATTAGTTATTTTCTGGGCATTCACATGTAACATAAGCTGTTTTAAGTGCTGTATTCTGAAATTTTTGAGAGAAATAAAAAAGGGGGGGGGGGGGACCTAAAGGTCACCTGTGGAAACCTCTCCCTACCTTTCATTTATTCTTGAGATTATACATTGTTAGTCTCATAATTTCTACTTTGAACTCTACAAAGCAAACCCTCCTAATTCTCCGAGTGTGAAGCACAGCAGCAGCCTTCTGAGCCTCAGTATAGCTACAGTCCTTTGACTGGAACGGGATTCAAAAGTCTTGGTGCCTTGATATTGCTGCAATGAGCACTATGGATCTGTGAAAAGATCTTGTTGGAAAGCTCACAAATTTTATTGCCCTATAATAGCCTCCAGACATCCTGCAAAGAAATGAGATTTCCTTCAAATGTTGGCATTTAAGTCTACATGATGCTTTCCTCTGAGTAACAAAAACTGACTTTCCCTTTTCCATATCAGTGTATTTTCAACACAGTGCCTTATGATTCAAGCGCAGATGTCTATACTGGAGATGCTTAAAGTTAGCCAAGACAAATTCCACCCTAAATTCTGCTCAGAATACATTCCCTACTCAGCAACGTGACTCCTTTCTCCCAAAAAGAGAGACATGTGATGCCAGACAAAGTTTCAGGATTGAATAGATCTTATTTGGTTATTGAATTAAATGATATAAAAATGAAGCATCTGAAATGGTAGTTGAAGAGATTACTTTCTTACATATAACTCAGATTTGCAGAAATCTTATACTAATCACAGATTACATCTTAAATCCTGACATTAACTTTCTTCAGTGATAAAAATTATTGACTAGAAAGTGACTTTAGAAGAGGAAATTTTCTGAAATTTTCGGAAGCATAAAACCCCTTACTAGTATGATAGAAAATAACGTCCCATTTCTAATTGCTTTTGCCTGTCTCTTGACACATCTGACCACACTTTCAGGACAATGCTGACAAACCTTCTTAGGCTAGGATGCCACAACAAAAGGTACTGTAGAACTTCACAGAAATGAGAAAAAAAGTCTCAGACACCAGCACATTTACTTCCTCTCCTTACCATTAATTCTGAATCAGGAAGGAAAACTACACTGGGCAGGATTCACCTTTCAATGCAAGAACAGCAGGAATATATCCACCACATAACAGGTGAAGGAAGAACCTGGATGATCCAGAGGAACTAACAGCTATTATTGCACAGAAATTGTTGCATGTCAAAATAATCATGAATGCAAATACTGGTCTAGGTAGATTATTTAGCACATCTGGATATGACCTTCAATAGTGACATCCAACAGTTCATAATAAATACCACAACTATGTCATTTCTATACTTTGGAAACATGGAGGTTTTATAGCAGTTCAGCAAAATTAGTTTTCTAAAGGCCTGGATTTCCTAAAGAAAGGACTAAAGCAAAAAGGAAGGCAATGAACTAAATGTAGAATAACAAAATTTATTATTCTTCATTTTTCCAGGCAATTTCTATTTTCCAACTGATTCTAGGAAAATACTACTCCAGAGCAGCACTCTAATGCGCCATGATGGCACAGCTAAAAATGTCCTGCTTGGGGTATACTCAGTATCATGTTAAAGTCTTTGCATTTAATGAAGCAAACTGCCTACTAGTTTTCTTTAGTTTTAATCTTAGTTCCTCCTCTTTTAGCCCACCTACATGACTTTTTAGGAGTTTTCCTTATTGTAAAACCATATGACACACAAACAGAGAAAATTCAAGAACCAGCATGGAGATAGACTTCTTTACAGGAGTGTTTGCTAATGAGTTGTTTTTAAACACATACAACACACACAAAAGGGAAAAGAAAAAAGGTGCTACTTCTGTTGATATTTAAATTTTGCTATATATTTTGTATTTAAAAACTGCTTAATAATAAACTGACCTGAAAAAAATGTAATAGCATTTTTGTTGAAATAGGAATTCCCTTTTTGTAGCACTTTGAAATTTCCCAGCCTACCATTTAGCCAATACTAAAAGTATTTTGCCATAACTCTGTTACATGTGACTTCACTGCTCAAAATAGCACTGTCCAGCTTGATTGAGAGTCAGTGCTCAGATGACACTCTACTGGAGAAACACATGCACTTTCATGACTGCCAAGGTAGAACATGCAACATAAATAATCTAAAGAAGTTAGACACATTTTGCTGGAAAACGGCAAAACCAGAAAAGAGCTAGTTATTTGCAGCATATCAGTTCTAGCATACATCTAAGCTGATATCTGCTTGATATCAAAAAATGCTGCAGTCATTGCTGTAATGAAATTCAGAGGAACTGATAAATTTAAAAAGCAATTCCATATGATATTTAGCAATGAAGTACATGCTTTTTCAAAAATATATGCTATCATCAATCTCAAAAGTCTCTGGAGTGGGTTTTCAACATCAAAATTATAATAGAGCTGCCTACATAAAATGGCATTTACTGGGATACTCTTCATCTTCTCCACCTGGTATGTCCAAGTGCATTGCTGATTTCCTTGTGACGTAACTTCAGCAACTAACAGAAACGAAGTTATAATTTCAGAGTAACAAAAAAAAAAAGTCATGGTACCAGCCTTTTTGTTACATATCTTGCCTTTTATACTGAAATGAATGATAAAGATCCAGTTCCTCAAAACCAAATGGAATACTGGTATTAACTGGAAAAAAACACATGCAAAATCACTTGTCAGCATTATCTGGCTTCCTGAAAAGTGAAATTCTATTATACAGCTGATCATCCAACTTAGCACTTCACTGTTGCTGAAGAAACACTTAGTCACCTTTCCCTACTTTGTTCCAGATGTTGCCCTTGCACTTCCACTACCTGTCTTTTGCTGCCTCTACCACCCTCCTTGTGGGTAGATTTAGCTTGCCCGAGCCAGCATCAAAAGAAAGCAACTACTTGCTTTGCTGTTGAGTTGATTTAACTTACCAAAGCAAGAATTAAGTAAATTTCTAGCTAAGACAAAGAACATGGCTCTTGGGAGCAAGGTGACTACTTTCAGCAGCAACGTTAGGTTGCCTCACAGCCCATCTTAAGGAAATTCACCATAAATAATTCATAAGTAAAGTTTACACATGACAGCATTGTAAACTAATGCTCCCCACCCCAAATCAGTAAAGTTCCCACTAATTGGATTCAATCTGAAGTAATTCCATATTTATTATTATTTTGTCTCTCAAAAGCATTGCCAGTGGTGGTGAGATTTAAATACTCACCTTCATAAAATAGCTATTCTATCACAATGCTCAAAGACCTACTCCTATCTTTATCATTTCTACAGGACTGAAGAAAACAGAGTTCTGTGCAATGTATAAACTGCCAGACTGCTGTCATGTTAGAGTCCAGACACAAGCAACACTGATCTAGAGTACACAGAGAATAAAATTGGTTTGATCAAAGTGTGCCTGTAGAAGCTGTTCATTTAATCAAATATATTGCAAAGTTCAACCACTTTACTTTTCAAAGTAAAAAAACAACCAACCAAATAAAACCCCCAACCAACCAAAAAACCCAAGTTCCTGAGGTGCTAATAACAGCAAATCAATTTCAAATGACAGTCCATTCAGTCCACAAGAAGTTTCAGGTGGGGTGATCTGACTGATCATTGTCCTGCCTAGTTTATGAAAGTCATAAATGACTTCTGACTGAAAGAACCAATCTCTTATTTTGACTCCTTAACCATAGAATATGTTGACCAACATTAAGGAAATCAATCCTGAGTACACTGACTGATATACACACTGAAGATACTTGTGCCCAGGATCAAACATCTACTTCCTGAACAAGTGAAACAACTAAAAAGCCACTTCCAACCTCATTTAGGTGCTACAAATATCTCACCTGACACAATTCAAAATTCTAACCTGAAAAGGGAAAAAAAAACCCAACCCAGCAACAGAGGTACCGATGGATGCTAACAGAGAAGAAACACCATTTTTTCTTTGACTGGATTTCTCTGCAACCATTAAGCATGTCTCAATTTTAAAAAGCAGGTGAAGAAGAAGAAAAAAGAGGACAAAATGAAATACTACAAGTGATCTGAATCCATCTTAAAGGGATGTACTTGAAATACAGATAAGAAACTGCAGCTTTATAAGCCTTCTCACCCATGAAAGCTCATAGAATCAATTTTCATTTAAATTCTC